CCCCGCATGCGCAGGACGCATACAGCGCCTGCGCGATCCTCCAGGAGCAACTGGAGCCTCGCACAGACGCTAGTACACATGCGTGCACCACGCGTGTGCACGAGGACGCCGCTGGCCCCGTTCCAACCAAACCGGTTGGAACGGGGCAAGAAACCCACCCCTGGTTCCTATATATGAGGGGCTGCCACACAGAAGACAGGGGGGGGGGTGTCAACGTATTCTCCATACCACCCGAAGACAGAGCAAAAGAAGTAACTAACCAAGGAGAGAACCAACTACAAAAGAACCAATAGCCAGCAGTCAGCAGAAGTAGCCTGCAGTATTGCATTTTCACCACTGCACCACCATGGCTCATAATGAATGCAGTGTTATTAAGCAAACCCATTGTAATCATTGAGCGATATTTGCCAGATGCTGGAAATAAATGCCGGTTTCCAGCAACAATGTTGTAAATGGCAGTCACATGGCTGCGGGATTCTGCAAGTGGCTTTGCCTTGCGGGGAGACGAGCGGTATAAAAATTTAATAAATAAATAAAGGAATTTTTTTTTAAATGGAAGCTAGCTGCTAAGCACCAAAAATGCAATCTTGTGAGAGGCAGCAATCAGAACTTCGAAACCAGGTCGTGGGCAGCTCTGGAGATGTCTGCAGTAAATTTAAACAGTTGCTAAGCGACCAGTCGCATGTTGAGAATTACCTCTGTTTTTTGGAACAACTAAGGAAAGGCCAAAACTTTGTTTTAAATGAACTGTGGGGTGGAGATAGCAAAACATGAAATAAATCCTCTATAAATCCTGTGAGTTTACACAGCCTTCTTCTAAGGACATCTAATTTTGGAAAATATTAGAATCAAAGTGGTAAATTCTATATTTTCATTATGCATTAGCTCCATCTACTGTCTTTTCAAGCTGCATATAAAAAAAAAGTTGTAAGATATTTCAACAGAAAAATCAGATGTGCAATTTTTTTTGGACATTGTTTGTGCTTGAGAAGAACATATACCATATTTTTGGAGTATAAGATGCACCAGATTTTGAAGAGGCAAATTTTAAAAAAAAGTTTTTGCACTTTGCAGACCTCCCAAAAACGGCCCATTTTTCAGCGTACCGGTTGCAACGTGAGCCGGAACGCACCACTGGTACATTCCACCCAGCAGCCGAATCCACACAACACACAAGCCCAGCTTTACAAACTGCAATTGCATACCTAAAGTGCTATGCCAAACAAATTATGGATTAAGACGGTGGTCTGGCTCCTACAACATGCTAAGACTACGGCTGTATTCTCATAGTTAAATTACTCTGAATAGAGCTGGAAGGGACCTTGGGAGGTCTTCTAGTCCAACCCCCTGCTCAAGCAGGAGACCTTATGCAGTTTGAGACAAGTAGCTGCCCTGTCTCTTCTTAAAGGGCTCTTTCTTTCCTGCGATTTCTGTTAGGAGGATGGGCAGAATGCATGATTAATATTTACAGGGAGACGCGTCAATTAATTTCATAAATGGGATCCTTATTTTTCAGGCCATTACTTTTAATCAGTGGTTACTTAGATTAATTAGTTGCTTACATAAATTAAAATCGATTCTACTTAGCCTAGTCTAGCGAGCTGCGTGAATTCAGCAAGGCTGGCAAAACAGGCAGTTCTGAACCGGTGGCTAATCTTAACTGAAATCTCCCCATCTCAACATTGTTGAGGTTGAGAAACACCCTCCTTAACCGGACTCTCCCCACTTTCTCCTCCTCCTTTTAACTTCAGCTTCCTTCAGGCCACCCACGCAAGAGCACCGGACCTTATCGCGTCGAACGGGAGCCAGCGATAGAGGGTCAGCCCCCAAAGCGCCGCGCCTCTTTGTCCCGCGGCTCCACCTTCTACCTTCTCCGGAACTTTTAGTTTCACGCCTCTTTCGGGGCCAGCCGGGGAAGGATTTGAGCAACGGACCAGGCGGAAGTGAGCCGAGCCGGGCCGTGATTGCAGTCAGGGTGGGAGAGCAAGGCTAGGGTGCACACCGGAGGGAGTCAGGGCTGGTTCCCTTCCGTGTCCTGCCAGCGGCGGGGAGGAGGAGGAGGAAGAAGAGCAGCCGCAGCGCCGCCCGCAGGAAACCTTGCAGGGCTCCCCTTGGAGGGGGGGCGGCGTTTGCTCGCAGGGAGACTAACACGGGGAGGCTCCCGGGGGCGTCTGGGTGGGTGGAGGGGCGCGCTTTCCCTTAGGAGGAGGCGCTTCCTTGGAAGGAGCTTCGGCCTCCGGGCAGGCAGGGACTGAAGAACCGCATGGGGAACCCTTGCAGGGAAAGCCCCCGCGGGAAGCCCTTTGCAGCGGCTGTTCCATCATACCGGGCGCCGTTTTAAGAACCGGGTCCCGCCGGGAAGCTGCCCTGGTGGTGGTGGGGGATCCCTTGGGGTTAAGCCTGAGCGGGGCTCCTGCAGGCTCTCAGCGGGGCAGTGAGGGGGGGGGGTCCTAGAAGGACCTGTAGGAAACTTTCAGGCATGGCCACCCGGCGTTTAACAGACGCGTACTTGTTGTTGCGGAACAACGCCATCCAAAGCCGGCAGCTGCTGGCCGAGCAAGTGAGTAGTTACAGCTCCTCCAGTCCTCTGACTTCACGTAGCATGGCTGCTGCGGTGAGTCTCCCTTCATCCTACTGTATCCCACATGATACCGCTTGTTTGTGTGTGCCAACCCGCTTAAAAGATAGCCAGCATGTCTTTCTTTCTGGGTGTCCCCCTCTGCCCCCCCTCCTGAATCCACTCTGCTTTTCTCCCAATCTATGAGATCTGGTTGGCCTAACAGGTTTCTTTCAGATATATTTGCCCATCTTTTATGCTAGGCAGCCCTAAGTACCCTGTTTCCCTGAAAATAAGACCTCCCTGAATAACAAGTCCAATCGGGCTTTTGAGCGCATGCGCTAAAATAAACCCTCCCCTGAAAATATAACACAGCAGCAGCCATGAGGTGACCACGCTCACCGCATCTCAAAAATAATAAGGCCTCCCCGAAAATAAGGCCAGGCGCTTAGTTGGGGGGGGGTGTGTCAAAAGAAAATAAGTGTCTTATTTTCGGGAAAACACGGTAGAATGGACTTACTATAAGCGCACCTGGTCAACTGTTGTGTGACACGGAATGCTGGATTTAGATGGGTCTGATCCAACAAATCTCTTATTTTCATAGTGCGGGCTACCAGTTTGGCTCAGTCTGATCAAAGGAGGTTGGACTGATTCATGGATGTTATTGGGAATCAATGGCTGTGTTATGCCAGCATATTGAAGGCCGTCTACTGGGAGAACAGAGGGCGTCCTTAAGCAGAAGGTTGCCCCCCCCTCCCCGCCACCCTATCAGTAGACTGTTAAATTTACATGGGACGGGGAGCCAATCCAGCAGGACAGTAGTTCACTTTTTATGGTTTAATATTGTACTCTACGATTCCATAATAAAGCTAATGCTAGGCTTTTTTCTAAAGGTGAATCATTCTATACATTTGTTGTAAAAACATGATCTGTATAGATGTGATCAGTTTTGGTTTTTAACCAGCTAAGGATAATAACAAAGGGACCAGAAATAGATGTCTTTATTGCTTGGGAATTAAATTCCCCAATATTTAATTCATTTTGCTGTGTTGGGTGTTTTTTGCTTGTTGGTTTTTTGGATGAGGGGATATTTATTTCTTCTCCATTTTCTAATCAATAGTGCATGTATAATAATTATTTTATAATGCAAAATGATAGATCCTTATTCATCCCATCAACTGAAAGTGCTTGTGGTCAGATATTGATATAGCTTAGAAACTGTAAGAGTTGAAATAGACTTGCCTGGCTGATTTCTTTTTCTTATGATTTCCCAGTCAACCTGGCAAGGACATCTGATATCAATTTTTCGTTTTGCTTGAACAAACTCAGAAAAACTCGGGTTTTTATCCCCCCCCCCAAAAAACCAAAACAAGCATTTTATGCCATAACCTCAAAGCTGCACTAAAAAATAAAACTAGTGAATACTTGTCACTATGATTGGAAATATTTTGGAGGACCTACCTAGACTGTATTTCATGATGGTTGAAATGCCTTTTATAATGATACAGGTAGACATAAAGGGGACGTTAAAATGAATGTAGCCCTGTACTTTCTCATGCCATTTTTAACCCATTGAGTGCCCTTGAAAAAGCCTCTTGGTGGTACAAAATGGCCTGTTTCAATATCAAAATAGAAAGTGTTGGAAATCAGGAGATTTCTTTTAAAGTTGGAATACCTTGTTATCAACCCCTAAGGTTGCTGGGCACAACTACTTAGAGTCCATAATGGGGAGTTTCAGAGTAGTATTAACACAATATATTTCGAATACCTTCCCAAAAGCTTTTATCTAGTATTAAACACAAAGTTGATGGTGCAAAGTTAGCAATAGTTCATATGGTTCTATTGTTATAGTGCTGATAGAACCACATTTTTCCTGAGAGTGGATGTAGGAAAGTAATTTATAGCAGAAGTACAGGCTACAGATTGTTATTACCTAAAATTACCTAATTTATCTTCAGATGTTTTTGAATTAGACTAAAAAGGGAGTCCTCAAATTCTTCAGCTCATTGACCCCTCCATGAAGTTTCAGATTTATTGACATTCCCCCCAAACATATTAGAAAATTTAATAAATACTATTTTAACCTTTACCTCTTTTTACCTTTACTATGAATAACATCAGCCCCCATCAGCTTTTGAGGTTGATATTGACCACTTTGGAAAACTCTAGAGGAATGTTTCTTCCTCATCCTTTATATACAAGGGATCTGCTAATAGAAGCCGTATCAACTGAATACAAATGGTTCTCCATTTATGACCCTAATGAAGCCCAGAATTTCCATCATAAGTCACAACAGTCACAAGTTGAGGCACCCATGGCACCAAGCCTGAGTTTACAACTGCAATTTTAATAAAATAACCCACCATTTTCCTCCCCGGCAGTTAACTGGCAGGATATATATCAATTTTTCAATTGACTGTCTTTTAGCTGGCAGTATGAAAATCTGAGAGGTTTAAGTAGATCCATTATCCAACCCTCCCTCCTTGGGTGGGTGGGAGGCTGATTCCTGCAGTGTGCAGTCAGAATAGTCGTTGCTATTTTGGTCTTGTAGTATTTCCAGAATTATTCCTCAAAGTGATAGAGTGGAAATGACTGAAAAGGCTGTACAAAAGTCACCATGGAGTTCTCAGCAGTTTTGAAATGCTAGAGAAGAGTATAATCAGTTAAAGAAGACTATAAAATAATAATCAGCTTAATGTGAAAGGCATGCCAGACTGCCTTTTGAGGTGGACTGTGTTCTGTGGGTGTGATTAAAGGAGGCAGTTGAAGCCACCCAGTTGCTAGAAGAAATAGCTGAATAATCCTGATAGGTTACATTTATAGACCTTTGCAGCACTGAAACAAAAGGACTTTAAGCCAACAGGCATATTGGTGTTAAAGAAAGACAGACAGGTATCTCTGCAGAATAGAGCAGCATTCTTAGTAGCTGAAATTATTGGAAGGAACTAAACTGTTAATAGAAAGAAGGATGGACAAGAATATAAACCAGGGTTCCCCAAACTTGGCAACTTTAAGACTTGTGGAGTTCAACTCCCAGAATTCTCCAGCCAGCTAAGCTGGCTGGAGAATTCTGCAAGTTGAAGTTCACAAGTCTTAAAGTTGCCAAGTTTGGAGACCTCTAAAATAAACAGTTGTTCCAGCACTAATGAAGAGCAGATTANGACTTAGTAGCTTTATGGAAGGCCGGGAGGGTAGTAAGGGTCCGGATCTCCACGGGGAGCTCGTTCCAGAGGGCCAGAGCAGCAACAGAGAAGGCTCTCCCCCATGGGGGAGAGATACCAATCCTTGCTTGAGCAAGATAGCAATAGCACTAAGAATAATAAACCGCTTTACAATGCTTTATAGCCCTCTCTAAGCGGTTTATAGAGTCAACATATTGCCCCCAACAATCTGGCTCCTCATTTTACTGACCTCGGAAGGATGGAAGGCTCAGACAACCTTGAGTCGATGGGAATCGAACTGCCAAACTGCAGCCTGCAATACCGCATTCTAACCACTGCACCACCATGGCTCATCCATTATCTCCCAGTGCTCAAAACCCACCAGAAACTGCTGTCTTTTGGTTTCTTTGTGAGAAGCAACTGTCTGGAGCACTTGTGGGTCATCTCCGGCCCTCTCTGCCTGGAGAAATTCGAAGCACCAGTCTAGTCACCTACTCTTTGTTCTTTTCTATGGTTGTTGGCTCCATTTTTCACTGGAACCATCTTCACACTTCGTCATTTCCCCCCCCCCCTCTGAAAGTCCATAGCATTAAGGTGTTAAAACAACAAGAAGACATTCGTGACAATATGGGAAGAATTATATTACTTCTTTCTCTCTCCCTCCGAACACTATAACATAAATATCTGGTAAAAGTGTTTGGCGTTGACTCTACAAAAAGGATTTTATGGCAGCAAACTCTAATGATTCATTATCCATGCCAAAAAAAAGAAAAAGATTTGGACTGGAACCTGTGAGCATCTTCACGCAGCAATCCCAAACTCCTAAATTGTATAAGACAGAATGGAATTTATCCCCCCCCCCCTCATCTTTAATCTTCTTAGCTAACATCTTCCATTCAGTGAAGGAAGTGGTGGCCCAAATAAGCAAATTCTTGTCCATTAAGATATTACAACTGGTTTCCTGCTGGGACTGCAGAGCATTACTCCAGCTGCTTCATACTTTCAGAACGAACCCCTTCGATTCCCACCATGGACGAATGGTGGCAGAAGCTGATGGAGTCGGCTGAAATGGCAAAATTGACAATTTTTATTACAAGAGGACATAAGTATTTCTGTTTCCACGTGGAGATCGCTTCTGAACTTCGGGCGTGATGTGGAAAAGAATGAAAATTAGACTTTGGGATTTACCAGTTAGACTGATAGATCTTTATAGAAATGGCTTGTTGATATTACGAGAAAGCAAAAGGTTGTGATTTGATGTTATTAAGTTTCACTGTAACAGAGAGAATCAAGATTAAGTGAGGTACTGATACCACTCTATAAAGCCCTAGTAAGACCACACCTAGAGTACTGCATCCAGTTTTGGTCACCACACTATAAAGAAGATGTTGAGACTTTAGAAAGAGTGCAGAGAAGAGCAACGAAGGGGATTAGGGGACCAGAGTCTAAAACATAGGAAGAACGGTTGCAGGAACTGGACATGGCTAGTCTAGTGAAGAGAAGGACCAGGGGAGACATGATAGATAGA